GGCGAAGGTAGAGCGGGGGGAGCCGCTCGCGGGGCGGCGGGCGCGGGCAGGCGCCGTTAAACCGCGCGGAGCAGCTGCGGGGATGCTCCCAGGGCCGGACCGGCTCCTACCGGAGCTCCCTAAGCTCTTCACTGCTCCCTAAGTTGGAAGGGAAGGGGGTTCTTTACCGGAGGTTAAATAAACCTGCATCATTTTGGGGTTAAACTCAGCCTTTCAGCTCATTGTGGTGTCCTGCACTTTCCTCCACAAAGGGATGCCCGGCATGGGGCTTGGGCACCTAAAGGGAGCCCTCCTGCCTGTGGTCAGTTACCCTTGGGTCCGTGCTTTGCTTTAGAGATCTCATTTTCAAGGGAAGGGGGTTCTTTACCGGAGGTTAAATAAACCTGCATCATTTTGGGGTTAAACTCAGCCTTTCAGCTCATTGTGGTGTCCTGCACTTTCCTCCACAAAGGGATGCCCGGCATGGGGCTTGGGCACCTAAAGGGAGCCCTCCTGCCTGTGGTCAGTTACCCTTGGGTCCGTGCTTTGCTTTAGAGATCTCATTTTCTACCAGGCTCCTCTTTGCTACAAGAGTCTCCCGATCAGGGGCAGAGCCAAGTACATTAGATGTGTTAGAGACTCTCCCAGGAACAACCTGGGAATGCAATAAGTGAGAAAAAATAAAATCTACACTCCAACCTCTAAGTCATGTGGTCCTGTCATTTTGTAGATATTTTGTGGTTCTGAGCAATCTATGTGCTTGACCTTGAAGTCCAGTTTTTGTTCCGAGAGCGGAAATGGACGTGTTCTAGTTCCTTTCCTGTTGACCTTTTCATACTTGGACCAGTGACCTGTTGGCTCTGAGCCCAGCGTAATTTCAAATGTTAAAAGAAAGTTAATTGCTAGGACTGAACAGGATGCACCTCTGAATGTTCCTGGGCCATAGCTGGAACAGCACGGGAAACTTCCCTTGGGATGCCGGCTAGTATCTCCCTGGGTAGTTAAAGATGTGGCCTTGGAGGTACCTTTTGGCCTTAAACCATGTCCTGCTTCCTCTGCACAGATCGAGGAGGGGGACGCTCGCACGAACGCACCGGTCATAACGCCTTCATCTTCCACTGAAAGTGTGAGCAAGGCACCCGTGGTGAAGGCCAAGGCCACCCACATCATCATGAACTCTCTCTTCACAAGTAAGCACTCTCCTTTCTGTACCATGCGGTGCCCAGCGGGACATGGGCGTAGGAGTCGACTCCAGTTGGGTGGTGCCTTGGGAGACTGGGAGATCAGAGTCCCTGGGCAGGTTAAGTTTAGACTCACTCAGCCCTTGAACTATGTAATACTTGGAGGGTGTTTCCTGAAGGAAGCCAGGTAGAAAGCCTCGCTTGCTGCCCCTGCATTCTCAGTGCTGGGTTTGGATGGGAGGGACAAGAGCGGTGGCTGTTACCTGCTGAGAGGATGTTGCAGCCCAGACCACCCTTTAGCTGAAGTGCAGGGGCTGGTGCTGCTGCTCCTGCCGTTCATTTACTTATTAGCTTGCTGTTACTGGCTGATAACCAAGGCTCTAAATTAGGCCAAAGTGATGTGGAGAGCTGGCATATTTCGCTAATGGAGCACTTGCTGGCATTTATGTTAGTTAATAGCAGCAGCTGTCTTAGTAACACTTGCTTTTAAAGCAGCTCATATAAATAATAAGGTTTTAAAATTAAATTGAGTCAGTTATGTGGACAGAGAGCACCTACCCATTTGCAGCAGAAGAGATGCATTTTTCTTCCCCCTCCAAGCAGAGCTTCCAATGACTGTGAGGTTTTAGAACAGCGTTTTGGAACATCTTTGAGCTTGCACTTCTTTGTTCTGACTCAAAGATAACCAACATATCTGCAAATAGTATATAGAAATACAGACCTGCTGGAAATCTGCTTTTGTTCCAGTCTAATGTAGTATTATAATCTAGTTAAAAACATGAAGGCCTAGAAGGTTCTTGTGCAGTAGGAAGTCAGGAATCACAACCTACACATTCCAGGAAAAACTTCAGGCAGTTTTGAAATAAACAGACAAAGGTAAAGTGTAAGAACCTTATGTTTGTCAGGCTTGCAGAGATGCTGCATTATGTATAACTTCAACTTGGGAAGTGATGTCCTTGTCTATTAGAAATGGAGACATTAAGTTTTTTCAGTAACTTCTTTTTTTGTGCTCTATGTCCTGTTAATTTTGCTCTTGGCTTAGCTAGGGAGCGAACATCCCATGCTGACAGAAGGCCACTTAAAATATCCAGTCGATTGGGGGTCTCTGAGATTTAAGGAAGGTTTAGTCAGGAGTGATGCAGCTTCCTGGACCAGATGGGTTTAATTACAGGTGGTGCATTTGTGATACAGGCTGTGGTTTGGGAGCAATCATTGCTCCTCTGACTCAGCTCCATGACTCAGGATACTTTTCAAGTCAAAATAACTCTGTAGTTTCATCTTGCCTCCTCTGTCCACAATCACAACATGTAGGTATGAATACTGAAAACTGGCTGGCTCTTATGTTTGGTTGCCTGAGCTGCCTTTGCGCTCGCTGTGACCGCATGTGGTCGTGTTTCCGTGTGAACATGTGTTCTTGTTCTTTCTAGAGCAGACTCAGGAGAGCATTCAACGCTTTGAGCAGCAGGCAGGGCTGCGAGATGCTGGCTACACTCCCCACAAAGGCCTCACTACAGAGGAGACCGAGTATCACCGGGTGGCCGAGGCTGTCCATGTAAGACACACCGCTTGTGTTCTGCATTTGTGGTGTTTGCAGGCTGTATACTGCCCTCACGCCTCTCGCGTGACGGAACTTTCTGATCTTGTTCCCAGGGCTCTCCTTAACTTCCTTGCTCCGACTGCTTTCAGCTTTTTGTAAAAGGGTTGCCTGTTTTTATTCTAAAATTAGGATTAGCCTTTACAGCGTTGAAACAAATGACTTCCTCTGAAAAGTGCCATGTCCCACAGTTACTTCAGACTGTTAAAATCCTCTTTCAAACTGGGGACATCTTCATATGGAGTCTAGTTTCCTGAATCTTGCCCACCAATTGACTGTTGCAGCTGTTTTTCCCAACTCTGTCTCTAAATGGTTAAGTTGCCAAAAATACTAGTTTTCTGGAATTTGTTGGCAAATCCTGGTATCAAGTCTCTTTGGGGAGGTGTTTGTTTCTATTGTGGTTTTTCTGTTAAGACTTGGAAGAGACCTGCTAGCTCAAAACCTTTCTTGCAAAAAAAAGAAAAAAAAATTAAGGTGTCCAGTGCACTTGCTCTTTTCTTTCTGTGATAACTACTTTGAAAGGAAGGAGTTACTTGCCAGGTGGATGGGCACTCTCCAGCTTTCATTATGTTCAACAATGCTAATATGTGGGTGTGAGGACGAGAGAAGGCCTCTTACTTTAAGTACACTTACTTTAAAATCGAGGTGTTTGAACTGCTTGCCAGTCTCATCCCTGAAGCAGGTAACTTTTAGAACTTTAAAGGGTTGACTGTTGACTTCCCCCCCCCACAATCTGAAGCTTATTCTGATGATCTTGAACTTCCCTCTTCTCTCTCCATGCTGCTTTCCCCACAGGTTTTTAAGAAGCAAGTACAGCAGATTGTTCTTGATTAGATGTTTGCAGTAGTAGATAAGTGATTGGCAGACTGAACTTAGAGCTCTGTCTTCATGGTTGCCTCAGTGGTGCCAACTCTCATTGGACTCTTGTAATGAATACAGATATTCCTGGTGCTCTTTAGTAGTAGTGCTAGTCTGGGTATTTTACAACCAAGAGCAAAGTAGAATGGTAGCAGTTGTAAACTGTGCATTTCCAGTGTGAAAGTTGGAAAATGAAATTGGGCTCTAACTCCAGATGAAGACTTAAAGGTCTTAAATTGATGCATTTTTGATGAACTCACCATTGCTCGCAGTAATTTTGTAGTTAGAGTTTATTAATATTGAATCCTCTGAGTGCACTCTTGCAAGGGCAAAGTTACAATAACAATGTTGTCAGTGAATTTCATTAGTGTGGCTTGGATAGCCACAGGAAACAGTCTGAGAAAGTGCCTGTGTATTCCCTGTTTGAATTGTAACTGCCCTTCAAGTGACTTCTTCAAGGTTCAGCTTGTACTGTGTGAACGACTTGTTACGCACACCCAGTTCCTGTTTTTTTTTTTTTTTTCCTTTTTTTTTTTAATGACAAGGCATATCCTTAAAATGCAGTTCATCTGAAGGAGTTCTAGAGCAATGTTTTCATCTCGTCCTTCATAGATTACTTCTCAGGGCCCAGTAGGTCTTACACTTCTTATACAAAATCTGGTCTGTATACAGTGTGTTGTAACAGTGTGATTTAAGTTTTAGATGAAATAAGACTTAAAACCAGTCTGTCTGTTCTCTACACCTTGCATTAAAGTCCTATTGCCTCTGTGTTTCTCTTGTCCCTCGTAACAGAAGTTAAAAATGCAGAGTGGAGAGATGACGAAAGAAGACAAGCAGACTTCCTCTGCTCAGTCCACTCCGAGCAGCACTCCCCACTCCTCTCCCAGGCATAAAAACAGGTACTCTTGTTCTGGCAGGCTACTGCCTTGGGTGGTCTCCTGCAGGATGAGGTGGGAGTTACTTGGATAACCCTCTTCCCATGAGGGCCTAAGAGGCGATATTGAGAGCTCGTTGATCAATTCCATCCAAGTACGGATTGACATGTTGAAACTTGAACTTCAGTATATCTTCATTCTGGGTGATAACAAGCTTATTAAAAGATCATTTCAATTGCCTCTGATAGCTACAGGGAGAGTTTGTCACAATGGGAAATATTTACTCTTTTCCTGTTTTATGCATCTTAATTACTTTTTCCCTAGGGGTTGGTTTAGTCATGGAGCCTCTGCTTCTATCACTGGGTCAGATTTTGTTGCCATGGAAGCTGGTGGGGACAGATTGGCATCTGAAAAATGGAGCTTTTTTGGACCCAAAGCTATTCAGAAATCCACCAATGATCCAGGTATGTCCTGTGAGAGCTCTTAAACTGTAAGAGTTAGGGGTGAACTGTCAGGTGGCAAACTCAGTGGCTACTTCTGGAGCATTACTTCCAACTTCCCCTGTAATTTTCTGGGACCACCTTGTGAACATGTGCCATTCAAACCATTTCTGTACCTAAAGGTAAAGCTGCTTTGAAAAAAAAATCAGCTGAGGGCTTGAAGGTGTCAATCACTTGCATTGACCTGCAGTGAAGATCAGGGTGTGAAGGTGACCGCCTGTTGCTCAGCTGCTTTCTCTGTCTTGTGGAATCTAAACTGAAAGTGTCAGCTCCGGATGTGGAATAGACTTTAAGTAACATAAGGTTGCTGGGACTTGCATAGGTTCTTCTGTAGTGCTGAGTGCCCAGTATTTGTAGCAGTGGAAAGAAGCTTGGCTGATTTCCCCAGCTCTTACTTGTTGTATTTTTTCCCCCTCCATCAGGAGGATTTACCATCCAATCCTATAAGGGTGCCCAGAAACCATCCCCGATGGAACTGATGCGTGCCCAGGCTACTAGGATGCCAGAAGATCCAGTCACCTTCAAGCCACCCAAAATGGACATTCCAGTCGCAGAAGGGAGGAAACAATCTCCACGTTCCCATAATATCAAACCTCGGGATCTCAATGTTCTCACTCCAACGGGGTTCTGACAAGAACGCTCAGTGTCCTTAATGGATTAAGGGGTATCTTAGGCTTGCTTCCCCGTCTTGTTGTGCTGCAGTAAAATAGGAAAGTCTCTTTCTTCCAGCTTTTCATCTCAGCAAAGGAGACAGCTCTCACTGTTCCTCTAAAGCCAACCCTGAATGAGTCTTTGAGAAAATCCTGCACTAGCACTAACCCAGTGTAAACCAGCCTGTCTGCTGTGTCTGCACCGGTTCCGTGTGCCAGGCCGCACGGGGAGACCCACTTCCCAGTACAGAACGCTGCAGTCAAACCTTGATCCGTGTTTTGTGGGAAAGGAGAGCCTTGTGGTGTGCGAGCGGACTGGCTTCTCTACCTGTAGTCTAATTATCTTGTCCTGCTCAGTGCTGAAGTATCCTCAGGAGGACCATCGTTCTGACTGGCACACACAAACACCAGCAGAAAATGAGGCAAACAAGCCAGGAATAAACTGGACCATTAGCAGACTGAAAGAACTTAATCTGGGAACGTGGTACGATAACTTTAAGGATGGACTTCCCTTGTTTTCCCGTATCACTTTATGGTATTTCACACCCTGTGCTTATTTATTTCTTCCTAGATCCTTTTTTTAAAGGAAAAGCAAGGCAGTGATCACTATTATTAGGAAGTCAAGGAGCAGAACCAAGGCAGTAAAGGGGAAGAACGAATGCATCTGTAACTCTTAATGTTCCTCCAAAATTGGTGGAAATGACTGGAGTTGGATTGGCTTCAGCTGAGTAACCCTCCTCTTTCCTTTCCAGATTCATGCAAAACAACAGTCTCTTGCCTCCCTTAGCAGTAGTTTTGATGCTCTGGATGCTTTTTGATTGTTTCTTAGCATCTTATAGGAATCATGTGTAGAAGTGCATTAGACCGGGGCACTTCTGAAATAGGGTCTTTTGATGCATCAGTGTTAGATGCAATTTGCCAGCCTGGGGCAGGATCGAGATGCAGATTAAGGCTAAACATTCTTTCATGTTATATTGATAGAGCTATGTATTTTTTATATTACTTTTTGGCCTAGTCTTGCAAACAATTGCTGGGATGGTTAGCACCTGCTATTCCTGTCCTGAAAATTGGGAAAGCAACTCTTGCGTACCATCTAATCCCTTGAGCAATGTAAGGAGGGATGCGGATAATCTCTGTCTGTGGCAAGCAGGTCTCCTGTTTCTTGAGCCGTTATTGCACCGCTCCCTTGGGCAGCTGCAGGTTTCTCCAGCAGTGAGGGGGTAGTCTTGCCTCGGGCATTGGAGGCTCTTATGTTACACACACGTTAGAGAGAGGTAGCTCGAGTGCTGGTAACCACCCAGCTCTGGGGTTGCTGCCTGCTGAAAATCAGCATTCCTGCCTGGAATGAGTGGCCAGTACTACTTGGTATCCCCCTCTGAAGAAGTAGGTTTTGTGGCTCTGCTTCATCTTCAACGGCAACACCAGCGACACGTTGTGTTGAAAGTCTCCCACCCAGTCACGCAGTTGTCACTGTCACTAATCATTCACACCTTTGCAATCAGAGAATCTCTGGTTTGACAATAATTTATTTATAGTCTGTATTCATGTCTGTGTCCAGTTCTGTTTGTTACAAGAAAATAAAATTCATGTGAATGGAGATCTGTGGTGTTTGTCAGGGCTGGTAAAGCAGCTGTGCAGGCAGCAGGAGGCTGTTGACTCCCTGCCAGGCCTTGTGCTGTTGGTGTGTGGGGTTAAGGTTCCACTCAACAAGGAGGTGGGAGCATTTCCTTTGAACAGAGCTGGCACCAAGACAGACGAGTCTCAGCAAATACAAAAATAATTTATTTTTTTAAAAGTGTACAAAGTGCCTTGTAAAACTTTAGGACAAGAGTCGAGTTTGAAAGGATAGTCTCAGCCAGGGAAAATCAAAGATATTTCCATACAAATGTATAAACAAAACTGTGTGATGGATGACAGTTGAGGTTGCAGTGTAAAACTGAGGGTTTTGACTGCATAGCTTGTAAAGGAGCCCCCTGCCCCAGTAAGTGTCTGTCACGTAGCGATGATGATGAGGAGTAACTCCTGGAGCATATGCACTTTCTCCGTGATCTGCCGGGGAAAGGGCTCCTCCCCCAAGACCTGCTGCAGTCGGCTCAGGAAGTTCTCTACGTTCAGGTGAATGTCCAGCGGGGTGATGTGATCATCATCCTGGAGCTTGGGCTTGGCTTTCTTAATTATTAAGTCCATCCGCTCGCTGAGCGCACTCCGTAAGTGCCCTACAAGAGGCAATAGGCAAAGGGTAGTGTGTGACCTGTGCAGGGACAGACAGCAGCGTGTCCCAGGCAGTGCAGCCCTGGGGTGAAAAGCAGGCAGGGACAACGTGCAGGTCCTTTCCTAGGGAGCCTCAGCATTTCTGTACAAGAGTAGGGAGGTGGAGGAAGGAAGTGTCACCTCCTGGAGCTCAGTGTGGCACATGCAGAGGCCCAAAAATGGGGACGGGGCTGTAACAGAGTTTCCCTCTATGCTTGTGGCAGACTGGACAACTGTCTAGCTGGAGAGGAGAGTCTCTGAAGAGCTTCTCAACTAGACTGATCTTCGGAGGGCTTCGGAGAGCAAGGGAGGAACTGGACTCTGCTCACACGTTTGTGGGGTCCTTTGAGGTCCTCCATGAGAACCTTATCCTGGGCTCAAGCAGCTGAGGGTGGAAGGAGCCTTGAGCAATTTTCAGTAAGACTGAATTTTAGGGACTGCCCCTTAAGCCCCCATTCTGCTGGGGGTCAGAAATACTGCTGCTTCCAAGGCCACTATGGGTGATGCTCCCTTCCCAGTAAGTGCTCGTGTGCTCTGGCTTCACGACCCCTTCTCCTTCTGCTTTTCCTCTTAGACAAACCTATTCTTCCACTCATTCTGTGTGCAGCCCAGACAAAGCTAGTGCAAAGCACCTACTTGCCAATGCTGTGGCTGACCTTTTAGGAAGCAGGCTATTTCTTAAGGACTAAACTTGGCTCTCTTCTTGCTGTGGCCCTGTCACATAATTCCTTAACCCTGGCTGCTGGGAATAGTTAACAGCAAACACTGAGATGCATCATCTTCTTAAGACTAGGTGGCTGTGAGCTAATTCAAATGCAGAGAATGTTTTGGGCTGTCCTGCTGCAGCCTCTTGATTAGATAGTGTGCATTAAGGTCAGAACAGGCTGCTTACCCAATACTACGTTTTGATAACTCAGCAGCAGCAATGTCAAGTACTGCAGCATCTCATCCCATCTTTCGCATATTGCTGCTTCTTCCTATGAGAGGAGGGAGTATTTGGGTTATTAGAAGAGGTTTTCTTGTGAGGAAAAAAAAATAGGGAAAAAGCACAAGGGAGAGGATGGATTAGATACCTGGTATTATTAGAAGAGGTTTTCTTGTGTGGAAAAAAATAAACAACGAGGGAAAAAGCACTAGGGAGAGGATGGATTAGATACCTGGTATTGCAGGAGCACAGAGTGGGTCAGGAAATAAAGGATCTTGGCCAGAGACAAGGGCATGTTTGTGGGCATTTCACAGCTGTGCTGGAACATCAGCTCCAGCACTTTGCAGCGAAGGAGCTGGCTATCCATGGTGTTCAAGAAGGCTTCCCTGAAAGACACGGGGATTTACTGTAGGAGAGACAGCACAGCCTCACTAGGAACAACTGCTCTTGCACCTTCCTTGTGTCCTGCTCGTGCTGCTCCTGCACAGATGGAGGGTGGCTGCAGGGGGCTGTCCACCACATACGATACCATTTGTTATAGAGCTTGGCCACAGACATGTCTATGTCATTAGGTCTGACCTGTGACAGCTCCAGGTCGGGATGCTCTGTGCAAGGAGCTTGGCTGCTTTGCCCTGCAGCCTGTGTGGATGTGATCCATCCCTGCTGGCTCGCAGGACGCACAGCCAAGCAAGCGTGAAGTGGGCTCAGATGCCAACTGGATCTAGCAGATCTGTCCTGGGATGAGCAACAGCTTGGTTAGATTCAGTTTTGCTTGAGGCAAATCCCAGTGTGTGCTCAGAGGGAGTTGTGCTAAAGGATCTGAGCGAGCTGCCTGCTGGGGTTGGCAAGCAGGAGTTTGAAATGTCTGTGATGTAGTGATCTAATGGCTACACTAGAGCTAGTCATGGTCTGGTGCCTTGGCTGCAGACACTGCATTTCTTACTGAATAATAATAATAAAAAACCCAAAAGCATATCAAGGCAAAGCAGTGGCAACTGCGTCACACTCCTGATGAGCTGCTTCTTGTCCCTGGGAATTGGTGGCGTGTTTACCAGCAAGTGACTGTGCTGATACTGAGCCCTGCTTTGTAAAACTCTTTGCAGTCGAAAAGTCCTTCAGCTTTAACAGGTGGGAGGATCAACAAGCAAGGCACCAGCTGGGGAGGTGCATTCAGTTATCACTGCTACATCCCCATGGGATCTTTCTGTCCAACAGCCATACTCTTCCTGGCTGGGTCATAAATGAGTCTTTCTATCCCTGTATTTTTGTGCCTCCAGATTTGCATATAAACCAGGAATAAGTTTTGCCCACAAAGACATATGCTGCCTTGTACTTGCTTATCTTACCTTTGACTCCTCAGAGGAATATTCAGTATAAAAGGGAATATCACATCTGCAATTTTACAGGAGCTGCAGTTGGGAGATCTGTCCACCTCCACGGCGATAGACAGCATCCGCTGGAGCAGGAGCATCACCCTGGGTTAGACAGACAGTCAGTGCTGGGAGACACTACCCCTTGGCTTGCAAGCAAAGCAGGGGGTGGCCCCTGTTCAGATGGGTGCCTCGTAGGGAGGGACGAAGGGAGAGCTCGCAGGTTAGATTGGTTAGCTCCCTAAACCCTCCCTGTGTCTCTTAGTGACGTTTAAAGCTGATGCTCTTGGAAGAAAAGCTAATTCTCAGATGGGTCCCAAGCAGGTCCCTGTGGTATTGATGGAGTGTCAAGGGGCAGCCTGTGCTGTCCCTGGTGTGGGCTGAGCGCTCTGGCTGCACAGTGTGTGTCAGAGCAGCAGGGTCACTGAGCCAGCTCCCTGACAGCTGAGCAGATCTCACTCACCAAATCTACATCTGTCCCAGAGGAAAACTGCAGATGCCTTCAGGCAGGCACACGGGCACAAAGTGGCTTCCCTGATTGGAAACTTTGGTTTCTCCCTGCCTTGGGCCCCATGAGCTAACAGGAAGAGCCCAGACTTCAGGGCTTACTTCTGGGAGAAGAAAGCTGGTGGAGCCACCTCTGCCCGGTCGGTGCAGTCTGGCCAAGCTGCAGACGAGCTGCATTCGGCCCTCGCTTCTGCTGAGGAGTTTGTCGTTCCTTGTGGCTGCTCTTGGGGCTGGCAGAACCCGACTCCTGTAACCGCTGCCACCAGCCATTCAACCACGTCCCTGGGAGAGAAGCAGCAACGTTAGCGGAGACACCTGGCTTAGCTGCGCTGCGACGCTTCGCTCAGAGCTCAAGGAAAGACCTTGGGAATGCAGGATGTGCCCCACACATTTGCACAGGCTGGGGAATAGACTTATTGAGCAGCCCGAGATTTATATTGTCAACAGGAGTCAACAGGACTGGTTCCTCACCCCAGAATTGAGCAATGCAAATCTGATCTAATTCCTGGGAAAACACCTGCTAGGCTTTGCCTGGATTTTTTATTTGCATTATCTCTAATGGTTTGATGTCATTACCCGCCTCCTGTTCTTTATACTTGTGCCTTAATGATTTTTCCCCCTGTCTGCCATGCTTGTTTCCTGGAAAGTCAGAACTAAAATCTTGACACAGATTCCCTGAGCCCCTGCCTCTCAGCATCTGTTCGGAAGGTGCAGGGGAGTTGGAGTGTCCTTACTTGACGTTGCTGAAGCACATGTCACAGGAAAGCACTTTCTTGGCAATCGACTTCTGCAGGAGGTGCAGCCTCAGATTCTGCTGCAAATCATCCTCCAGGGTCTGTACCACGTACTCCAGGAATAGGAGTCTGCCAGGAGGTTTCTCCTGAGGGGAAACACAGACAGTGTGAGCCTGGAAAAGCAGGAAGGCTGCAGAGAAGCAGGGAACGTGGCTCTCTGGGCAATGGGGTGATTTATATGACTGAGGAATCGCATGTTTGCTTTCCTGGAGGGGCTGCCTGACCCAGGTTCTTGGCTGGACACGCTGTACCACTGCACCAGGGCTCTTGCCCTTGCAAATCCCTGGTTTCAAATCAGGCAACCTGCCTGCAGCTAAGCAGCAGTTTATGAAGCCCCGTGGATAAAACCGGGAGACACACATGGCACAGGCTGCCGCGAGCGACTGCAGTAAATGCTGCAGTAAATGACCAGCCCAGTCTGCCGCAGAGCAAGGACGTGGCGGGGCCTGGGGCAACACTCAGCCCTGAAAACTGTGTTCTGGGTGGTGCCTGACGGTGACACACGCGGTCGGGAAGTGCAAGTACCTGGTCTTCCATGGTGTATTTCAGCAGCGTCCAGTCCCATCCCACTGTGCCGACGCTGGCTGGATGGAGCCTGCAAGGACACGCTGCCCGTTGGTGCTGAGCCGCCCCGGAGGCGGCGGAGCCCCTGCCCAGCCCCCCCCCGCCAGCCGCTGCCCCCTCCGGCACCACCTCCTCTCCGGCCTGGCCCTTTCCCTGTCTCCTGCGCTGTCCACAGTCAGTCTTTGGAATTGCCAGACGGGAAGCGTGCTGCACAGAAAGCACTAAGCCCGCTGGGCCCGCGGCCTCGGGAAACGCTGCGCGTCGCTGCAGGGCCCCGCGTGCTGCGGGTGAGCTGCCCCTGCCGCCTGCAGCCCACGGTGCCTGTTGCAGGCCAGGGGGCATTTCTGCCACATCAGTGCGGTGAAGAACCAGGTCTGCTCTTCAGGAGCAAACGCTCCTCTGCCCCAGAGCACTCTGGTATCACAGGCACTCCCTGAGCTCTGCTGGTTTGCTGTGAAATGATTTAAACACTCCTGAAACAGCTAGAGCTGCTCTCCCTGTTGTCTCAGCACTCCCCACCTCTCTCACCCTCATCCTTTCTCCTTACGGGATTTTGGAGGCTCCTATCTGGGCCAGTCCGAGCCCTGACCCACCACTGCAGCCCCTAGCCAGCCTGGGGCTGTGATTTGATAATCTCTGTGAACAGAAGGCAGGGGCAGAAGGATCATCCTGGATTATAGGGGAAATTGCTTGCTGTTCTGTGGGTAAAGAATGTGGAGAATGACCTTTACACTGGGCAGAGCCCAGGGAGCATCTACCCAGCCCCAGGGCTACCGCAGCAGAGGGAAAACATACATCTGGATTTTCATGAGCAGCATGTAGGTGTCCTTGAGGATCTCCCCCCGGTGGGAGTTCAACAGGATCTCTCTGATCAGGTAGGACACGATGTCTCTGGGAGGGCAGTGCTTGCAGGAGACGAACTCGCTCAGGAAATGCAGCGTGCCCTCGAGGAAGTTCTCCTCGATGGTGGTGTGCACCATGCTCATCTTCCCGCTGGGGATGAGCTCGGGTTTCTGCTGTGTGCAAGGCAAGGCACTGGGTGAAAGGCGGCTCCCGCTGCCCCGTGCGTCCCCCGCATCCGCCCTCGCCCGGCACTGCAGCACGCACACCCTGGCCTAAGGCACAGCTTGCGACGTGCAGTTTAACCACGAAGGAAACCGCAATAACCAGAGATCCCAAGTGCCCCACAAAGCTTGTCCCGAATGAGGAGCAGAGCAGGGGCTGTCCCTGGCTCCCCCTCTACCTCTCACCGCGACCGTCACTGAACAGACTCCAGCTGGGCCTGGCAGCAGCTGCTCTGAACCTCATTTACCTCTGTTTCCCTGTCGGATGTTATGCCTTGGAGGAAGAGGTGATGCACTCCAGTCCTCCTGAAGTACAGCAGTTTGTTCAGCCAGGCCTTGCTGTCAGCCCTGGTCCTGGCTGGGGCCTCTTGCTGCACTGCTACGTGTGACGGCAAGTCAGTTGCTTCCAGCACAGGCATCTCGTCTCTCACTGGGGATGTAGGGATGCTGGCTGGAGCGGGGCTCAGGTTTGGGGGGAGCTCCCTTTCCTGGCAAATAGGGAGAGTCTCTTCCTCCACTGGGGAGTTGGAGGCTCTCCAGCTGCTGTCCAGGCTAGGGGGGGACAGGGAGAGCTGGTCTGAGTCCAGCTGCATGCTGGCCAGGGAGCCCAAGTCACTGTTAAAAGTGGTGGTGCTGCAGTTCTGCCCATGGCCGCACACAGAGCCTTCGCAGCTGCAGGTGGGAGAGACGCTGCCACCGCTCCCGGCGCTCTCTGCTGCGTCCAGTGTGGAGGGAGGCCCTGCAGGGAAGCTGCAGGAGGGCACTGCAGGCTTGGACTCCGCCGGCACATCCTTTTCTTGCCTGGTGAGGAAGCAGATGCCGGGGGGGAAGGCTGTCCGGAAAGCGGGCGCTTGCCTGGAGTCCCAGTGAGCGCAGCCCGCGGCGTTGGGAAGGCTGCACGAATCCTCCTCCGTGAGGTCGATGACGGCAAGGCTGCCGCACGGCGCCGGCTCTGCGCTCGCCTCCTCACACGTCAGGTCGATGATCTCCTGCGGGGACAGGGGGATCAGCGCTGTCTGCAGGGGAGGCGCCTGGGGCCTCCGTCCGGAGCGTTGGCACCGCGAGAGGAAACAGGGGGAAGGGGCTGGAGGAGAAGCCAGAGCAGAGCCCCTGCCGCGCCGGGCTGGGGGCCGTGGGCTCTCGTGTCCCCGGGCACGGCCCAGGCCTGGCCCAGGTCCCCCTTCCTGCTGCTGCCAGCAACAGCCCCTGCTCGCCTGAGGGTGCCTCACACTGCACCCTCTGCTTCAGAAAGCCAGCGCACGAAAGGCTGGTGCGCAGCGTGGGCAGAGCCCCTCGAGCGTCCCCTGCGCTCTGCTCTCCAGGGCCTGCTCCAGAGGTTTCCCCCGTGCCAGGAGCGGCCCTTGTTGCCGTGTCTGGCTGCAGAGCAGGGGGAGTTGGGGGC